CTCAGAATTTCCCATGCCACGGAAACAAGACATGCACTCCTCTAGCACCGCCTCACAGTTATTCTCCTCAAAGGCAAAGCTGATAAAGTCTTTCCTACCTTCAAATCTTTCAGGGGCTCCTGATCACCTTCAGGATAAAGCTTCAACTCCACAATTCACAAAGCTTTTCTCAATCTCTTCTGCAGCACCACGCCCACATTATCCAAACACACTCTGCACTCCTGCTCCCAGCCTCCCCACTCAGGGTGGAGCTATATGTTCTTCTGTCTCTAGGCCCTGGCACACACAGTTTCATGTATGACGAGCCTTTAAAGCCACATCCTACCAGCTAGTAATTACTGGTTCTTCAAGCTCTAGAAAACTGTTACTTAAACTCCCAAAAGGACAAGATGCTCAGTCACAAACCTTGTTACAAGGTAGTTGGACCTCTGCAGATTCAACCAATCATAGATGAAAAACACTTTTTTAAGAAAGTGCATCTGGGGCCAGGCATGGTGGCACACGCCTGTAATCTCAGCACTCGGGAGGCTGAGGCAGGAGGATGATTGCGGGTTCAAGACCAGCCTGGACTACAAAGTGAGCTCAAGGCCAGCCTGAACTGCATAGCAAGACTCTGTCTCAAAAAGACAAAAAACAAACAAATAAAAAAAGTGCATCTGTACTGAATGTGTACTTTTTTTTCCTTGTCTTTATTCTTTAATTATAACAACAACATAACAACTATTTACATTGTATTAGGTAGTATAAATAATCCAGAGCTAACAAAGATAAAGGAAATCTTCAGCATTATATGCAAACTACACCATTTTATACAAAGAGCATGTGCATCCTTGAATTTTGGTATTCCTGGAGAGTCCTAGAACCAAGTCTGTGAGCATGTTGAGGTCTGACAGTATTGTAACTACTGGTTTACTTCCCTTTGGTCCTCTCAGACTATAGGCTTTCCGAAGCCAGGGACCTATCGTTTACACCTCCAATGCCATACTGTAGTTTAGCACGAGCTTGTGTCCAATAAATATGTGTGGAATAATTAGAGTACTAAATTTAGTAGGAGAGGTAGTTATGTACACAATAAGATACGAAAATTTTAAAAAGGCATGGCAGGAATGCAGTCCAAGGAAGAGAGAAGAAAAAAAAAAAAAAAACAGGAAAATCTGAGAGACCTCAGATATATTTCTGGGGCTTCCTTACCTGTTTTCTCAGAATTTCTTCAAACGCTACTACTGCTGCTACTCTGATATTCTGAATGTTTACTTTGAGCTAGGTACTGCGCAAAGCACTTTACCTCAACTAACTCATTTAATTTTTACAACAGCTTTATGTATGCTATAATCCCAGCATTCTGAGGCTAGAAGAACCTGAGCCTGGAGATGTAACTCAGTGGTACAGCACTTGCTTAACATGTGCCCTAGGATGGACCCACAACACCACACGCATTCGCGCGCACACACGCACACGACACTTTCAATGTCAGACAGTTAGTGGTATAGCCAAGATGTAAAGCCAGATCTTCTGTTTCCTGAACCAGAGCTCCAACCAGCCTTCTCTGCTTCTATTCTTTGTCAAAAGTGAAACCTCCCCAAAAAACAACTTCACTAGTCTCAATTCAACCATGTTCTTTATTTTATCCAATTGTGTAACACATTTCAAATTATTACAGACTTCTTGAGTATCTTGAATATAATTCAACTTTTTAAATTTTTGGATGCCTCAGGGCCATCTTGTGTTGATTACTGTAAAAACAGTAATACCTTCAGGAATGCCTGTGTTATACATGGAATGTATTGCCCTTGTATAATTGGCCTTGGCATTTATAAATGCTTGTAACAGTTTTAACTCTGAATTCACCCTTCCACCATACCTAGAGTTATTAATACTTGCTATTGTCAATATTTGTATCTGATATTGTTAAATCTCATTTGTGATCTCTAATTTTTTTTAAAGGAGGGCTATCTCTAATCTTTAATGGTCTGTGGCACCCACAGAAAATGTAGTAATCGTTATTGTTGTTCACCAGATCTTTCTGGTTCTTTGTTTGCTAGGCATATGCTAAGGGTGCAATTCCTTATCCTGCTTTAAACTTAGGTCTGGCCATGTGACATGCTTTGGTCAATGAAATGTAAATGAAAGAGACATATGCCACACTGGGACAGAAACTTTGAAAACTAGCACTCACTTGACCACCAGCTACCTTGGTCTCTGAGTGACTGAGGAGCAGAGTTCTCTGTGTACTCATGTGGGACATGTAGCATGAATAAGAAGTCAATTTCAGTCCTGCTAAAACATGGAAATCTTTAAGATTTTTGTTAGTGTAGTTTAATCCAAGCTATCCAGACCAATACACCAGATCCCTCAGTAAGGATTCTCTCTCATAAATAATTTTATTTACATACTTTATGACAAATATTTCATTTCCACATAAGATTTTTTTTGTATCCATCCTAGTTCAAAGCTGTTTCCAATATATTTGCCAAGTATCTACTACAGAAAAACACTGTGCTAGACGACAAAGACAATCATTCACATCTGGAGAAAGCTTCAGTCCTATGTTGTGAGTGGAAGCGCCATTAAGGCAATGAACGCAAAAAGACTATAAAGTTATACTGGTTTAAGACAGAGCTAGTCTACATGGGGAGAAAAGCACAGAAAAAGTTTCCTACAACAGCCCTAAGAATTACATATGGACAATTAAAGGGGGTCATTTAAGACAGAAAAGGCCAACATCAGCAAAGATATGAAGTACAAACAGCAAAGCACAAAGAGCAAGTAGTTCTCACAATCCAGAAAAATGTAGTAAAATCTGAAGGTATGGCCAATAACTATATTTGCACATACGCCCATGCCAGCTGGTCCACAGCTAGCTCAACATACAGGGAGCCACTGAAAGGCTTGGCAGAAGAAGTGACACACAGGAAGTAATGGCAGCACACCTGGCAAATAGGAGGAAAGAAAACAATGCTGCAGGGGAGGAGTGTTCTGGGTTAATTCACGGAAATTATAACAATGGCCCAAATCAGTGTGATGATACCAGGAATGGAAAGAAACGTGGAGGTAGGATCAACATGTCCTGCAACCAACTGAACACAGGAATTAAAAAGAAAGGTAAGAAAGAACTCGAGGTGCAGGTCTGTGGTGGCTAAGAACTATTCTTCCAAATAACTAGGGCTAATTAGAAAATGACAACGGCAAATAAAAGTACTACTGTGCTTCTTTCCTGATGGTTAGCTCTGTCTTCACTTGAAGGAAGGAGTATTACTCCATGCTGGGGCAAAGGCACCTCTGTTTGATGCCATCCACCTACCTTCTGTACAACCTCATCTCCCACTTTCTCCAGGAAGAACCTCCGGAACCAGCCAGGTGCATTTCAAGTTCCCCGTGCTACTTTACCAACCCCCTTTCGATCAGCTCATTTACCTTGTTCCAGACAGGCCTGAGCACTTTTGCTGTCCCAGCTCAAGCCTCAGCTCCCCTGTGAAGCCTTCCTCAAATACAGGAGTTTCTCCTTTGCTTGATTTCTCATAGTACTTACTGTCTTGGACTTCTAGAGACCACATCATTAGCTATCATTTTCATGTGTGCACTCTATGCGCTCAACTCTAGTATAGGGCCATCAGAACAAGTTCCATATCTTAAATGTCTCTGAGTTCCCTTCAGCAGCACATAATACGTACTCATTAGACACTTGAGAGAGCCAGGCACGGTGCTACACACCTGTCATCCCAGCACTCAGGAGGCTGAGGCAGGAGGATCACTGTAAGTTCAAGGATAGCCTGAGCTACATAGTTTGTTCAAAGCCAGCCTGAACTACATAGTGAGACCCTGTTTCAAAACAACAAAAATAGACACTTGATTAATCAAGGCAGTCTAGACACGTGCCTGTCTTGTTTCACAATCATTGTTTTATCAAACCATAGTTAGACATTTAGACTTAAGGAGAAATTCACCACTTAATACTTCAAACCATCCAAGAGCTATCAGTGCTTCAAGAGATTACTTGAAAATATCATTTGGTCACCAACTTTCATAGCAACTTTCAATTCTCTGACTGCTGACTGGAAGGCACATCAAATGGTTCAGTGATCATCATTCCAAAGTGATTCTGACTTAGAAACAACCTAAATTGTCACGAAGACTATTTTATTTTCAGCAACCTAATTAGTGTTTCTTTTAACCTTCATGTCCGACATTATAGAACAGAAAATTCAAAGTACAGGGCTGAGGGTGTAGCTCAGTGGTAGAGTGCTTGCCACATATGTGTGAGACCCTGGTTTTGACCCCATCACACACAGAAAAGTCTGCAAATATTTTTTACTTTCTAAGATAATAGCTGACTCCATTGGTCCTTCCCTCGGTTAATTACAATGATTCAATTTTAACATTTCACTCTCTCCTATGTGAGAAAAACAAAGAGCAGACTGAAAAATGGGCACCTTGTAAAAAAGGAATTCAACATATTCATTGGGCAGTCTCCTAATCAAAGGAGCTCTCTTCTCGAACATGTTTACTCTGGCAAACCACACCGCGGAGAAGACAATGAGAGAAAGTGCCAGAAGGAAAGGAAGAGTACTTTGCAATCATACTGACCCCAGTCCCCCTGAAGATCTGGCCCCTGGCAGAGATGCAGGCAACGACAACCGATACCCTCGCGAGGCGGACTCCTACACTTGTCCGTCTTCCCACAGCAAGGCCGGAATGACTACGTCCTTACCCTGAGCCAAGGGTCGCCGCGCCGCGGGGTCCCGCAGGCGGGCAACCCGGACCGCTCGGCGCGCGCCCGGCCGGCCTTTCCCCCAGGCCTAGTAGCGCCCCCCCAGCGAGGTCGTCCAGAAGCCGGGCTCCCAGCCCAAGCGACCCCTGGGCCGCGCCGCCGGGTCCTTCCCAGCTCAAGGGCGCGGGATCAGAGCCGTCCAACCCCAGCCCTGGCGGGGGGTGGAGAACGAGGCGACACCCCTCCTCCACGACCCTCGTCGCGCCCGCAAGTGCGCAGGACGGGTTCTTACCGCAGCCGAGAGGCGGGCCGGGGGGAGGCGGCGCCCGGCCCTACGCGGGGCGAGGAGGCGCAGGCCACGGCGCAGGTGGCGGCGACAGCCGCGGGGAATCCCGGCGGGCGCCCACGAAGCGCTGGGCTGTATGGGCGCCGCCATAGTGGGGACGCAGCAGCGGGCGGAGCGCGCGACCGCGGCCCGGGACCGCGGGACCACCAATCCGGCTCCCCGCCGCCGAGCCCTCGCTGGGGGTCGGGCATCCGCAACCAATAGGCGTGCAGGGGCCGGACGGGCCGCTGCGGCGACCAATGCGAGGCTGCGCCGCAGGCAGGGCGGGCACGGGGCGGGGACAGGCCCGGACGGCCCAATAGGGGCACCCCGAGGTTTCGGCCGGCCCTCCCGACCCGCGTGGGGACCCGGTGGCCGAGGATGCGCGGCGAGAGGCGCAGCATAGCCAGCTCTGGTCCCCTCCGCCTAGCAAGCTTCCGCCGACTCCACGGCCTAGAGGGCTCTCCACCCTCTCCGAGGACCAGCCCCTCGAGAGCCTGTCGAGATTTGGGGCGCAGAGTGTAGGTTGGCCACCGTGATTCCACGCCGACGAACGCCTAGTCCAGTCCTCAGATCGGGAGCGCCAACCAGGCCGCTCGCTCAGGCCCCAGGCTCCGGATTTTAAGGCGTCTGCGTGGTCCCGCGGGGTGAGAGGGCGCGGGGTCCAGTCTGCTGTCATCAGCCACCAACTTAGAACCTCCGCGGTCACCCTGCGCAAGTATACTTCTTGCAGCCCTGGAGGTCTCTACTCCCGTCAGTCCAGCAGCCGAGTCCTGGGCACCTGGGACACAATTTAAGGCTGGATTTCTGAGAATGGGGAAGAACTTTGAACTGTCACCCTTGGATACCAACCCAAAGACCTCACCCTACTAGACAAAGGCTGTTTGCCTTGGCAAAAAGTGTTCTTGGGAAACCTGCGTAAGGCAAGGGCCAGAGGGGAAAGGGGGACGTGGCCTTTGCTTGGGGTGGCATGAACATGACTGCACTGGCCACGGGAAGGGGAACCGCAGTCCAAGGCTGGGCGTTTGACTCAGTGGTACGGCCGGCTTGTAGCGCGCTTCGGTCCTGTGCCGTCCCGACAGCGTTTTGAGTCAGAAAGCCCCATCACCCCTATGAGCTTGGATTTCCTAAAGGACATTATGCTGACACAAATTAAAACTGCAGTGTTTTTAGAAAAATGATTACGTTTTAAAATACGTTCTCTGATGGGCATAGCGGCACACGCCTGTAATCCCAGCCCTCGGGGGGGCTGAGGCAGGATAGCAGTTCAAGGCCAGGCTGAATTAGAGAGCAAGACACTGAAAAAATAAAATGCCTCTGCTAGGATTAGATCAGGCAGCCAGCCCTGCAGGTTCTAAAACAAAGCTGGGAGCAGTGACGCCAATGGGGAAATCTGGGACCCAAGTTTCTCTATTCCCAGGGCCCAGTCACACCAGTAAGTCCTAGCTTTGCCCAGCCTCCCCTGGGAGTCCCCACATGAAGCGCAAAAGGGTCAACCTTCTTTCCTTGGCCCGGGTAGGGAATTAGTTTAGAAAAGCATCCTTGAAACCTTTTGCTTCTCCATTCCCCCAGTTTGTACCAAGTAGCAGCCACCCCCCAAACCCCAGGGTTGCAAAGTACTGGGTAGCTGAGCTGACCCTAGCATCACTGGCATCTGGCTGCCTAGGGCCAGCTGGGGGAGCTCTGCTGTGCCCTAAACCCGCAGTCATTGCCCTTCTCTATCCCAAGGCTCCCCTACACTTGACAAGTTAGTCCTCAGGGACCGAACCAGCAGGTTTCTTGCTAACTACAGGCAGCTCAGAAAGCATCTTCAGGACTTCATAGGGGAAAAGTCAGGACAAGCCCCTTCGTCTTCAAGCTCATAACAAACATTCCCTTTCCTTTAAATTAGTTCCACAATGTGTGTGGAACACAGAAGCTGCAACAGACATAACTCAGCTCGGTAAAGATGTATCAAATGGGGTGGAAGTGAGAGATTAATGTTGAGATGACTCAGTGGTTTGGTCCTTCCCATTACCTTCTCTTGGCCAGCTATAAAGCAGGGGAAGCAAAGAGGTGCTCCTAGCCAGTAGGGCTACTCTCATGGCTCACACTTCGTCTGTTACAGAGCCTGACAAGAAAGGTCCAATCTCTTTGGAACAGCTTTCCAGATCCTGCCTCACTGGTTCTTAAAATACATAGCCCTGCTCCAGAGCCTGACTCTGGATACACCCCAGCCTGACCCGGGGCCACTTGGGCTCCTTGGGGCAGACACAACCAATCCTCTGCTCAACACACTTTATTGCTAAGGACAAGGTGATGCACCAGTTTTCAAAATAATTTGGTTTATAGCGTTCATACGTAACAAAAAAAGGGGAAGTATTATAAATCTGATTCTTGTATACATAGGGGATAAGTGTGACCCCTCCAGTCCTGGGCCCAGGCAAACAAATTCATGAGGAGCAAAACCTGTTTAACCCCCTCAGTATTGCCCCCTTTTCCCACCCTCCACCCTCAAATCAGGCCCCTCCCACCCCCCCCAGACAAAGGGCATACCTATAATTGCCCTCGGCCTCCAGTGGCCCCAGTTCATCCTAACCCTCCCAGCCCTTGCATGATTGCAATTTTCTGTGGACAGATTCACCCACCAGGCTCTGCCTGCTTCCATTATTAGAGTCCTCCCTTGAGGGTACTCCCCACCCACACCCTCTAATACTGTGCCACAGAAGCTCTGTCCCCTAGAGTGTTGTGGGCACACAGCCATGTTACCCCTATGTTCTCCTTCAAAGGAGGACAGAGGTGGCATCAACTCTGTAGCATCTCAATACTGCAGCTTTGCCAGCATTCTCTTGGGGCCATTCCAGGCCTAGACAGATGTCGCATCCACCTCCAGCCAACTCCCAGGGGCCTTTACTCAGCTTAGCTGAGAACAGAATTTCACATTTTGTTTGCCCTGAATAGGCAAGGAAGAAAGTAAAGGCCAGGGGCTTGCAGAAGCTGGTCCAGACCAAACACACACACACACACACACACACACACACACACACACGCCCGCACACACATAAATACAAAAGGAATTGAGGAAAGTACCAGCACCTCTGCCTAGAGGGTACAGGTGATTGACTGGTAGGAAACTAAGTCCTAGGCCAGGAACAGGGCAACCTGCCCAACTGGCACAGTTGACCCCTTTTGGGACTTGGGTCAGTGCAGCCACAGCATTCCAGTGCTCAGCCCCTCAGCTGGGAGATCAGCAGCTGCCGCCACATGTCCCAAAATGGCTTGTCTTTTCACTAGGGCAGAATGCGAAGAGGGTCAGGTAAGGAGGTGATGGGGTCGGTGATTTCATTCCTTTTCGTTTTACAACTTCACTTTTAGAGACTTCAGAGTTCCGTGTGTCTGCTGTGCTGTGGAACACCAGAGCGCGCTCGCCACCGTGGCTGGGCACCTGCTGGACCCTGGAAGCACCTACTCCATGATGGCCCGGTACAGTGCAGGCTCAATGTAATCTTCCCGGTATCTAGAGTTGATGACCCTCTGCCGTTTCTTTTCTTGCTTAACCTCTTTCTCCGTGAAAATCTCATTGAAGCGCATGTCTGACGCCACCGACTGCAGAAGAATAGGCAAGCCAAATCGTCACTTTATAGCCAACTCTCCTAAGGGGGAAAAAAGTGACAAACCCTGCTATGTTCCCTCCTGCTCCTGGGAGCCAATGGCACACAGAAAAGATACTCACCAGTCTAGACTTGACTCTCTTGGGAAGCTCTTCATCCAACGTATATACATCATCTCTCTTAACCACAAGCTGTGAGCCATCCTCAAACTCCACCTGCCAACAACAGAAAGGCCTTTTGGCTAGGTACCTTTGAGCTTCCCTTGCCCACCCCATGAGAATGGCAGTTTCCTGCAGCCAAAGGACATTACAGCACTGAAGTAAGGACTGCCGGGTCTGAAACTGCACTAGCGAACTAGACATGGGACAGAGCTAGCTCTAAAAAGGTTGTTACCAACCCACAGTAGTTCTCTCAAGAGCCAAGACTCACCTGTCAAGAGGAAATACTGAGTTAATCAAATACCCTGTACCCCTAGCAGGAACCCTTGGCTACCTGGTACATCTGGATGGGGTGGGAAGCCACAAATTTAGCTCCATAGACTTGGCCATCTGTCCATCTCACTTGGACCACTTCTCCTTCAGCAGGAGGACCCAACTGGAGACAGTCCTGGCTCTGAAGAAAGAAAAAAGGGCAATGACAGGAAGGCCCACTTGAGCACAATGGTAACTGACATCTACTCAGGGAAAAATGAGCCACTATAGATTACACTCCTGCTCTGACACTCCAGTAGGCTGCTTACTCTGGGCTGACAGATGCAATAAAGACCTAGAAAGTTAAAGTCCGCCCATATCTCTTATCCTGCTTCTAGCAACAAAAGAAACAGGTGTAATGAATTTAGCAAACAGTAATAAGCATAAAAGGGGGCCAGGAGTATAGCTCAGTGGTACAAGCACCTGCCTGGCAGGTGCAAGGTCCTGAGTTCAATTCCGGGTACCCACAAAAAAGAGAGAAAATAATAATAATAATAATAATAATAATAATAATAAAGCATAGGAAGCAGGTGCCAAAATCAATAATCCTCACACCCACTCATCTGTTTTCCAGGGCTGTTCCATGAAGAAATGCTAGAAGTACACTCAGAATTTAAGAAAGGTGTTTTTAAAATATAAGCAAGGTGTAATAAGAAAGGCAGGGTTACCTACCATGGGTCTTGGCACAATACATCTGTACCTTTATTCCTTCTAGAAAAGGCTACTTTAAGATGAATGTTCAACTATATCCCAGCTAAAGTCTTGGTACACAGTTACAATGGTTGAATGAAAGGACAGACCGGAAGAGAAGGCCTAACAAGGATACATTACAGAAATGGGGCAGTACGTCTGAAACGCTGTGGATGTCCAAAACTCTCTACAAACACCACAATACATGAAAAATTAGAAAAGGGTCTGTGTCCTGTCTTGCCAGTTCATTTTCTGAGGAAAAGCAGCTCTATACTATATTGCTAATTCATTTATGAGCAAGTAATCAAAAACTGAAGTAGAAATTTTAACTAACCAAACATGATCTTGATAAGTCACTTAAGTTCACTGCAATTCTGTTTCG